GTTACCATTGGCTTGGGGTTTTTGTGTGTTATCTTTATTTAACATACTTCCCAACAAAACCTACATTTGATTTGCGATGAATTTTGGTCACTTGCGTCAGTATCTTTCAGAAGGGCCCTTCTCTGAAGCTTCTAAGTGCAGCTGCTCACATTTGGCCCTTGGCTACAGCCATGCTCAAGGGCAAAGGTCTCCAAGGTACAGAGTGATTGCTAGCTGGCTAAGCTAGAAGAAAAAGCCTGCCCGCCCGTTTCCTTATGACAGGATCACTAATCATTGTTCCTTCAAACCAAGGATTACCTGTGAGATCCCACATCTATTTCATGGCAGCTTTTTCTTCCTTCAAAAGGAAACAAGGCCCAAATTCTTGGTACGAGTGACCTTCAATACATGCCCAAGAGACCTTGAGGAGTCCGGTGGCACTTTGGAAACTAAATCAGTTAATCTTTAAGGTGCCACAGGACCCATGGCTGTCACAGATTAACATGACCACCCTTCTTCGCCCCAAAGAGTGAAGGCTCTGTGAGTTGGGTGGTCTGTGAGAAGCAGGCCTGGGAAAATCTGGAGAAGTTCCTCATGTTTGCTGCGTTAGTGCATCATCCCTCCCCAGTTCAATCTAACCATCAAAGATAAAGCCTTTGATATAGGAGATAAGCGCGTTAGGGCTGATAGAGGAAATTAACATGAGCGGTAGATAAACATCCTCAAATCGCTGCTAGCCATTCATTTGCTTTTCGAAGAGATTAACAATCAAGAAGGGCCAGACACTCAAACTGTTGCATTAACAGGAGACCTGCTCATCTTTTCCCCTCAAAGCATTTCAGGCCCCTATTCCCTTTGTACTTGGCCTTGGAGCAATGGCCCAGGAATCAAGATAGCACTTCAGGAGACTCCCAACGGCTAATAGGCATCCTTATTCTTTCTATGCCTGGTATGCTTCAATCTATTGGCCGACCAGGTATTGGCTCTCTTCTCCACTTGGTTTGCAAATGTATTTTATTCTTGTGTCCTAGTTTGTCTAGACATTAAGGGGCTACCAGTAGATGATCCAATCAACAAATTTAGCTGGTAGTGCCCTGATGTCAGGTCAAACTAGGAAGTCCTAGGAAGCATGGAGGAGGCCCTGTTTCTAGTGGGAAGTGTCTAAGCCACCTCCAAGTAACATGCACTATTGTGGGGAGAGCTGGATTTGGCGGATTAACGTGTCTGAGTGAGGTGAGGCCTTGTGCTTTGCTAATGCAGCCCCGGTCTACACTTGAAACTTACATCATCATAAGGAATAGTAATAGAGATGTAGCCGTGTTCGTTGGGTCTGGCTGGAACAAAAGACAGGACTATGCAGCACTTTAAAGACTAACGAGATGGTTTATTAGGTGATCTTGTTAGTCTTTCAAGCGTTGCATAGTCCTGTCTTTTGTATCACCATAAGGATCACTGGGGGGGAGGGGGGGGAGAAAGCAGCTTTCCCACTGGTGGAAGTAGCATCTTCGCTCAGCACAACAGCAGCCCAGCAGTGGGGCATAGAATCATAGAACGCTAGAACTGGAAGGGGCTTCAAGAGGTCCTCAAGCTCCCTGCCCTCACGGGGAAACAGTCAACCGGAGGCCGCTCTGGAAAAGCAGGGTGCTGGTGCATGTCACTGGCAGAGCTGTAGGGGTGAAATCTTGCACAGAGTCTTGCAGAGTGGTTATCCTGTGTCATCAGCCCTTCGTTTTCCTGACCTGCCACCGTCCAGCAATAATTCTGCCACCGCCAAGCCCTTGCCTAGCTTCTTGGGACTGAAAAGCTTCATTCCCAGGAAGCTTCCTGGTCTCTTAAGAAACTTAAGCCCACTCCAAAATCTACAGCTCCTGGCAGTGGCCTCGGTGGAAGTCTCTCTAGTTTTGTTCAACTCCAGGTCACGCCAGCTGCCTGCGGAGCTGGTTCCATTTTCCCATTGCAAGATGGAATTCCTGCTCTTTTGGGAGATGCGCCTCTCTCTCTAGTTTGCATTTCACTATAAATACACTCTTGTAAAAGGTTTCTCCCCCACCCTCCTCTAATGGGGGGACTTCTCCCTTCTACTTTAGATTACGAACCTTTGGCCCTGGGCCTCCTGAAGCACTGATGCTGCCCACACCTCATTCAATTGTATTTGCTCCAACCTGCCATAGACTCCAGTTGCTCACAATTGCTTGTTAGTTTTTCATGTGCCTATAATGTGCTAGATCAGTGGTGGGCCATGAGACTAAAGGGGGATATGACAAAGGTCTATAAAATCATCACAGGTATGGAGAAGTGAATATGGAAATGTTATTCATTTGTTCCCATAACATAAAAACTAGGGGTCACCAAATGACATTAATAAGCAGCAGGTTTAAAAACAAAAGGAAGTTTTTCTTCACACAACACAGTCAACCTGTGGAACTCCTTGCCAGAGGATGTTGTGAAGACCAGGACTTTAACAGGGCTCAAAAAAGAGCTAGATAAGTATTGATGGACCTAACCTCCATGAATTTATTAGCCAGAATGGGCAGGAATGGTGTCCCTAGCCTCTGTTTGCCAGGGGCTGGAAATGGATGACAAGAGAAGTATCACTTGATCATTACATGTTCTGCTCACTCCCTCTGGGGCATCTGGCATTGGCCACACTAGATACACAGAATACTGGGCCAGATGGACCTTTGATCTGACTCAGCATGGCCATTCTTATGTTACATTCACATGCAGCCCACTGGGGCTCTACTTGCAGCCTACAGACCTCCCCCCCCCAGGCTGCCCCTCACCACCACAGGCACCAGAGCACAGCACTTCCTATGCCTGGCCCCTCCTTCCCACCATATTTGGAGGAGCCCGGAATCACTTAGTTTACACTCTCTGTCCTTACTCCTCCCCCTCCCAGAACCAGAGCACAGCAAATCAGCTGTTCACAGCTGTTTAAGCTCTGCAAGGAGAGGAGGAGGGACAGAGCACCAATCAGGTGATCTGTGTGCTCCACAACTGCTAGGAAGGAGGGAGAGAGAGGGAGGAGCAGGCAAGTGCAGGGCTCTGGTGCCCCAGTGTGTGAGAGGGGCATGGTGGCTGGGGGCAGACAGGGGGGCACAGGTGAAACCCCACCAGGTGGCTGTGGCCCACTGAAGTGAATGAGCATCACTCATGCAGCTCTCCTACAATTCCTGGTTGCCCATCCCTGTGCTGGACACTTGGCAGACAAAGGGCCCTGCACCAATGGTTCCCCTTAATTTTTTCCATCCTCGTGCAGAATAATTTTTTCTACATTCACAGAGGCAGGTGCAGATGCACACCACCAATTGAAACAGACCCAGGCTCTGCCATCAGCTGGGCACTATTTGACTCTCTCCCGAATGGCCACACAAAGGCTCAGTTTACAGATCCTGCACCAGCCAGGGGAGTCTATGATCTAATTTATCAGACTGAGGTATGGAGCATGCTTTGATGGGCGGGAAGGGAGGGGAGGAGCCGAGCAGAGCAACACATGACCACCTCCACTGTACACTCATTCAACTGCTACAAGCAGCCAGCCAGGTTGCAAGATGCTGCCCCAGATGGACACTTTCTAAAACCCCATCCCTTCCAGCACTGCTCTTAGCCCTCCATGCCCCCTCAGCCAGGTGACAGGCACCACATCAGCTCCCACCTGCTGGCTCACTCCAAGCAGGAGCCTTCAAAGCTTTCCAGGACAGAAGGATCAATGTCAATGGGGCAGGAGGAACAGCCCCTCCTAGGGATTCTAGGCACCCACCTGCCCCAGAAGGAAGCAGTGACTCACTGCAGGACTCCCCCCTTGCTGGAAAGGGTTAACCCTGGCAGCAGGCGCCTTCCAGGGGACAGGGTGGCCTGTCAGGTTGCTGTCTCCCAGCGTTACAGGCGCCTGTTCAGCCCAAGCTATTGTTGAAGCAACTCAAGATGCGTTTCCAGCCAACAGGGAGATGAGCCTGCAGCAAGGGAACCCGCCTAAGCCCCTACAACAGCTAGCTTTTCAGCCTTTCCAAACCAGTCCACATGAAAGGGTGGGGATGGGGAAACCTAACAGCAGCCTTTGCAGATTCCCCTTGGAGCAGGTCAGTCGTTGGAGCTAAAAAAAATTTTTTTTCTTGTCTAAAAATATATAATTACACACCGAAGCCTCAATTCCTACAATAAAAAACACATGTCCTTGCAGAAAGGGGGACTTGTTCAGATGTAAAGTTTCACTGCCGCGCGTATTAAAATAATTGGGAGAGTGGTTTCCAGAGTCCCTTGCCAGGAAGTGAGGTTGGCGGGTTGGGGGGGGGCGATTTGGGGGCATTCAAGGCAATTGTTGGGGGGTAGAGAGGTGAGGGAAGGGGAAGACAAGGGATCAGACCCCTCTTAAGCTGGGGTGAATCAGGAGCAACGCTACTGAAGCCGATAGATTTACACTGGTTGGAGAGAGCTCAGACTCCGCGTGTTTCCTGCAAGATGCCGGGGGGTGGAAGATGGGAAGGAAACAAGGAACATGCAAGAAGCGTGAAATTGACCTAGGCTGGTCCATTCCTTCTCGCTCCATTCCCCACAGCTGCTGTTTCCATTTAGCCCGTGTTGTGGGGAGGGGTGTTTTTTTTGTAAATGTATTTTAAAAACTTTCTTCCTTCAATTTACAAACCCCGGGGCGCTAAGTTTAGCGAAGACAAACCCACGAAGGAAGCGAAATTACACGGCCCGGAAACTTTTTTAGCGAAAGCCCCAAGTTGCCCACAAACTTGTGTGTTCCGCTGGAGCGGAGCGGGGGCCTGTCCGGGCAGGGATCGCCGGGCGCGGGGGCTGCTTGGACGAGTCCGCCGCTTGGCCCCTATTGGCGGGTGGAGGGCGACTGCCCAGCCGCAGCGGGAGGGCGCAACAAGTGGAGCGGAGCTGGGCAGACTCCATCGCTCCGGAGTTGGTTTACGGAGCGGCGCGGGGCCGTTTACACACGGCTTCGCCCCGCGCCCGTGTACCGCCGCCCCCTCCCAGCAGCGGGGTGGGGGGTTGCCCCGCCGCTTTACCTTGCAGGAGTAGGTGTGATGAACCGGGTCCATGTTCATGATCTCCTCCACCGTGCCCGTCAGCACCACGTTCGCCTCCTCCTCTCGCCTCTCCAGTTCCCTCTCGGGACAGCTGCCCCAGCAGCGCCCCGGCCCCGCGGCCAGCAGCGCCAGAGCCCAGGCGCACAGCGCCGCAGCCCCGCTCCGCCTCCCCCCCATCGCCGCACAAAAGCAAGTCGCCCGAACAAAGCTCGCTGCAGGCCGGGCCGGGCGCACCCAGGGGAGGTGACTTGGGCTCCGGGGGGTGGGGAGAGAGCAGGAGCGAGGGAAGCCACCCCAGCGGGGTCCCCCCCCAGCTCCGAGCAGGCAGAAACGCGCCTCCCTTTCCAGCCTCCTGCGCCCGGCTGCGGAGATTTGCATGCGATCTGAATTGCTGATAAGGGAGGGGGATCGCGAAAGAGAGAGAGGAGGGCTGGCAACGCCGCCCGGCTGCCTGCTCGGCTCTTCTCTTATTGCAGAGCTGGCGAGAAACGCCACCCCCCAGGAAACACAGTCCCATCAGGTTAATGGCTAATCAGCGCGCCAACGTGCTTGGACTTTTAAAGGTGCAGCGGTCTGGGCAGTCCCCGCGATCCGCGGGTTTCTTCCCTCGCTAGGGTTTTGGGGGCACTTTGATCCCTGTCTCCCAATCGGACCCATTGGATTCTCCCTTTTCTCCCCCCCCCACGCGAATGCCACAGTCACGCGTGGATGCCCAGCGCTCGGTAGCCAAAGAAACGACCCTTTTGGCTGCGTATTCGCCCTGCCCGCTCCCTGACACGCGCGTCCAGCGCTGGGTCAGCAAGACTCCACGCCGGGTGAGACTCACGCGGGGTCCCACGCAACACACACGCGGTCACGCCTTACCGCAGCTCTGCGCACTCGCCTGGGGCCCCGCGGGGGGACTGGCTCCTCCCACCTGAGCTAATACCAATATTGGGAGCTGACCTTAATGATGAAGGGGAGTCGGAATTTGCCAGGCTAGAGACGGTTTTCATCAGCGCCTTTCAAAGTGCCTTTCAAATGTAGATTAGCTTTATGGCGAGGAGTGTCATTGTTCAGATGCGGGTGGAGAAACTGAGGCAGCGCGGGGCCTAGTGTTCGAAGGTGTGAAAACGAGATCTCACTGGATTAGTCCAGCATTGGCAAAAGGGAAGCGGCTAGCAAATCGCAGGTCCTCTGAAACACACTTTAACTCCCAGAAAGTCCACTCCAGTGTTCCCTGCAACTCATAGCTGGGTGCTTGTGGCAGCATGCTGCCCAGCTGATTAGCAGAGTGCCCTCCTGGTGGTGCACATTCACACAGCTCTCAGTGCACTTAGAAAAATAATTATTCTGCATGTGGATAGAAAAAACCACAGGTGGATGGAAAAGATCATTAGAGGGAACCTTTTCTGCTCTGCTGTCCAGTGCAATAACTTGGGTTTTCCCCCTCGAGTCTCCTGACCTTCTGCCCTGGCTTTCTCCATGGAGCAAATGGCAATTTTTCCAGATGTCCTTAGCAATTATTGCAAATATAAAATGAAAAGTTAAGTGGCACCAGAGGAGGTCACTTGTTTCTTTCCTCCATAAATTAGCCATCCCCTGGAGGTGTTTTACGAGGGTATTTCACTTGCTGGCCCTAAACAAGTCATGCTGGTGACCTAAGGGCAAAGAGGTGAATTATGGAAGATTGGGCAGGCTCATGGCCACATCAGTACTGGCGGTGGGAGGCTCTCAGAATTTGACATGCCGAATTCAATGAAAAGTAGTAGCCCGAATTGTTAAGAAATGCCACGCCCACTTCGAACATTCCAAGACACCCCTTCTTTCCTGGGGGCTTCATGCAAGTCTGTCAACACTCGTTACATCTGAAATGTTATATGTATTGATCCTTGTTTTCTTTTTCTCCTGAACCGAAACAAAACTTAATCAAAGAGCCAGTAGTGTAACACTCAACCTTGGAAAAAAATAGAGGTAAATTAATTCCTTAATCACTTTTCATTAATTAAATTAAATTACAACAAAACAAACGATACTCAGTAGAGTTTTTACCCTGAAAGGGGACAAGTGCCAGAGATTCCACGAAGGCCACTACGGGCTTTGAGCAAAGTCCTCAGTGTTTTGTAGATGTCAACTCCCGTTGATATCCTATGGAATCAACGCGGGTTTGGTGCTTAAGTACTTTGAGGATCTTTGCCTTTGCGGCTGCCATTGTTTTTACATGGAAGGTATTCAGATATGAGGATCATGGTGAAAACCTTAAAATCAGGCCCGCTGACGGGAGAGGAGAGGGGCAAATGAGGCAATGTCCTGGGCCCTGGCAATTCAAAAGGGGCCAGAGCTCCTGGCCACTGCCACTAGCACTGCAGCAGTGGTGGTAGCTGGAGCCCCCGGCCCTTTAAATCACCGCCGGAGCCCTGGGCAGAGTGCTCCAGATTGCGCTGAGGGCAGGAGGGAGCACAGCATGGTCCAGGTGGTGCTGGCAGCCAGCTGCCCTCAGCCCTGCCCCTTCTATCCACGGCCCTGCTCCTTCTGGGAGCATGGAGCCAGACTCCCCACCCCCAACTTGCCCTGAGGCCCGGTGAGTCTGTCAAAGCCCCTGCTTAAAATCAGGTTACTCATGGAAGGAGCAGATCGGGATTCAGTGTTATTCAAAGCATCACCATTTGGGGAAGGACGAAATAAAACAATTTCACTGTTAGCCCTTGTCTAGAAAACACACACACACACACACAAGGCCAGAGTCTCCCATATGGCGGTGGCTTCCCTTGTGACGCTGGGGGCAAGGTTTTCTAAAGGGTCTGGCCCAGAAAGTGCTCAACTTTTTGGAAACTCTGTGCCTCACTATGGGTGTCGAGAGTTTCTGAAAATTCCGGCCTGACCATATCCTGCTATTGTGCACTCCTGGACCGTGAGCCTTCAGTGACCGCTGAGAAAGCCCCTGGGACATAAGGAACCCCTTGGGTTGGGATGACGGGGTATCAGCCATCTCAGCGTTCCATCCTGCACCACCAACTGTGAAGCTAAGATTATTGTTAGTAAATCTGGGGATTTTTTTCATCCTCATAAAAAGCAATAATATGCATCCCCCATGGATTGGTTTCCATCATCAAAGCTGTGCAGACAGTAAGAGCCTGAAAAGCAGGTCCTAATTAACTAATTTGTCACTTCACCCCAATGTGAGGCAATGGCAAGAGAACGTCTGCTCCATGCTGACAAGCCACACAAGGCCGGCTAAGAGGATTCTCACAGCAAAGTCTCTTTTTGTGCCCCACACACTTAAAGTTAAGCACGTGCTTGAGGGCTTGGCTGATTCGGGTCCAAAACACTCAGCTCTCTGCACAATCAAGACCCAGCCCGCATCCGCACCCCATGTGGACTTGAACCAGAATCCTCGCTCCTACGTTTCAGTAACGTTGTGATCCAGAGCCAAACTTCATCACAGTGATTTTACGTGAGATCTTTCCTGTCCCACAAGTAGAGCCGTCCTGTCTATTGGACAGATCAGGGCAGCTGCCCCAGCCCTCACTTGGGGCCCGGGCAGCCTGAGGAATTAGTGGGGGCCTTGGCACTGGCCAGCAGCAGGGATCGGACCCACCTCTGCACTCAGCATTAGTGGTGGGAAGCAGAGCGACCCAGACCCAGCCTGCTCGGCTCCCTGAGCAATGCGGCTGGGAGCCGGGGGTGCAGAGCAGGCTGTGGCTGGGTTGCTCCATTTCCTGACACCACAATGAGCGTAGAGGGGCCCAACCTCTACTGCTGGCTCCAGGCCACCATCCCCCTCCAGCTTCATTGCTCGTGGGAGGAGAGTTGGGGGAAGGGGTGGGGTTGGGACAGGGCAGGGGGGAGTATAGGAGGGAAGAGGCGGGGCAGGGCGGGGCTTGGGGAAGGGATGAAGTGGGGGTGGGGCGGAGCAGAGCAAGGGCAGGAAGGGGCAGGGGCGAGGCCTGGGACAGAGGGGGAGGCTGTCCTTGGACCCGCACCCACTAGGGACGGCACAGCCCACAAGTAAAGGAAGACGGAAGGCAGAAGATTCTGGAAGTGAATCACCGGCTAGGAAAGGGATGTAGGGTAGAGGCTTGGGTGGCTTCCACCTCAGTGGAGGAGAGACTAGCCTGCTGGGGAATGGGTCAGGAGGGTGCTACACGAACAACAAAAGAGGGCAACACAAGGGCAGAGATGAGCCCTCCGCACAAAGTCATCATGGTGAAAGCAGCAGTAATCAAGGAACCAAAGGACACAAAGAGAAGAAATTCTTCAGTGGCCTTCATCCCAGTGCTAGGAGTCCAGGTAGCAAACAAGAGGAGTTGGAATGGCTTATTTCTGAGCATAAATTCAACCTCGTTGGTATTACTGAACCCTACTGGGATGATTCCCAGATATGAATGTGACAAATCAATGGTTATAATCTATCTAGGAAGTCCCAGAGGGGTCTCCATGTTAGTCTGTAACTTTAAAAACAATGGACAGTCCTGTAGCACCTTAGGGTATGTCTACACTACCACCCTAGTTCGAACTAGGGTGGTTAATGTAGGCAACCGAAGTTGCAAATGAAGCCCGGGATTTAAATTTCCTGGGCTTCATTTGCATCTTGCCGGGCGCCGCCATTTTTAAATCCCCGTTAGTTTGGACTCCGTGCCCGTGGCTACACGCGGCACGGAGTCCGAACTAACGGGGATTTAAAAATGGCGGCGCCCGGCAAGATGCAAATGAAGCCCAGGAAATTTAAATCCCGGGCTTCATTTGCAACTTCGGTTGCCTACATTAACCACCCTAGTTCGAACTAGGGTGGTTAATGTAGGCAACCGAAGTTGCAAATGAAGCCCGGGATTTAAATTTCCTGGGCTTCATTTGCATCTTGCCGGGCGCCGCCATTTTTAAATCCCCGTTAGTTTGGACTCCGTGCCCGTGGCTACACGCGGCACGGAGTCCGAACTAACGGGGATTTAAAAATGGCGGCGCCCGGCAAGATGCAAATGAAGCCCAGGAAATTTAAATCCCGGGCTTCATTTGCAACTTCGGTTGCCTACATTAACCACCCTAGTTCGAACTAGGGTGGTAGTGTAGACATACCCTTAGAGACTAACACATCTATTCTATCATGAGCTACTGCTTTTGCTGTTCTGTATACTCTGGATTCTGACGAAGTGGGTTTTACCTCCCAAAGCTCATGATGTAATAGATGTGTTAGTCTCTAAGGCTATGTCT